TGTCTCTCTCTGCTTCTAGAGCAACGTCCTAGTGCCTATGGAGCATCTGTCTTTCCCTTTACGGTATTTATGTTATCGTCAAATAAATTAACGTCATCAACGTAGAACAGAGCTGAAGGGCCCCATTCAATCTTATTTAACGGTTTTCATGGACCTTTGTAATGGCATGTTCTGGGGCATAGTTGAAGAGTAATTGCAATGGACGTCATTGTTTTTATTTCAGACGTTTCAGAATACAGAACGTATCAGACAAAAGCTTCCCTTTACGGACTTCGCTTAGTGACCGCAACATTAATTTCTTACTGTAGGTCCCAAACATTTAAGCTTTGCCACATTTTCTCGCTTTCTGTTAGCTGCTTTAGAACACAGGAATCAACGATGAATGAAATATTTTCTGCCTAAGTAGATGACTAGGACGAAATGACGTAAATAATTTGTTGAAACGTCTAGAGTATCTGGAAGATACCAGTATCTAAATAGGCTTCGCATTGTGTTACCTGCGGGGAAACATTAGCTTAGGAAAACTAAATGGGAGATGACCGAATCAGATTCAGTGACAGTAGGACCCAAACCGTGTAGCTGATGATGGTAAGTTAGAATACAATTTCCCACAGGTGTATGAATAGAGGAAATGTATAAAAGGTAAAGGTAAATTTGTCCCTGTGCTTAACTAATTAAGCGTATGGGAGAGTGGATGTATAGATCCACATTTTCTTCACCTTGGCAATAGCTGGAGGTGAGTGGTCAGTCTCACTCCCCGGCCGTTTTACCCCCGGGGAAAGAACCCCCGGTATCCATTATATAGGAGGTTGGGTGGACCCCAGTGCCGGTCTGGACGCTGTGGAGATGAGAGAATTATTGCCCCTACCGGGACTGGAACTCCGACACCTCGGTCGTCCAGCCTGTAGCCAGTCACTATACAGACTGCTCTATCCCCGTTCCTACAGGAAATGTGTAAAAAAGTAAAGAAATATATCTCCTCTGGTTATCTGATTAAGCACTACGACTTAAAGACATATGGAGGAGTGTATTATTATTATTATTATTATTATTATTATTATACTATATGAAATAATGCTCCTAATTTGAGGTGCTCGAAATTCGCAATCATGTTAAATACCCAAAATTAGCAACCCACCACTAATCCAAACATGGCAGAATAACAGGAAATTGAAGTTTTTGAAGCGATGGAAAAACATGAGATACTTGTTATAGTGCACGTATATAATTAAGTTCATAAAAAACACGCGCAAATAAAACTCACGTATGGTTTCGAAACATTAGCTCTGTAACCGAAAATATTACATCAGAATTGACAGAAACACAAAATAAACTGACGGTAAGACAACACTGCTGAGAAATTGACTGGACATGAAGTGTTACTGTCCTGTGGCCACCACCGCAGTGCTGCCCTTCCTGAAAACCCACGCTATCCGAAATATGGTGACTTTACCCTATGCACTGTACATTTTAATAACATGATGATTGGTGATTAATTAAGTTGAAGGGAATTGGAAGGAAGCGGTCATAACTAATGGAGGTATTGTAAGGTATCAGAGTGACTTTGGAAGATCATGGGACCCTTATTACAGCTAGTGTCCCTGTCGAGTTTCGGAACAAGAACTTCTAGGAATGAACTATTAGAGTTTTACAGCTGCGCCTGCCTGTGACGTTTCGGAATTCGTTATGCAGTATGTACGAGTAACATTGCGTATTTACATTTCAGAATTCCCTCGCTGAAATCTGAACCAGAACGCTGGTGAACAAATGAGGGATTTTGTTGTTCCCCGCCTTCTGTCCGTGCACTGGGGCAGGACCTCCAGACAGATCGCGGCCACTCTCATGTCTTCGTCATTTTAACGATGTCCTGCGATTCTACGAAACCCATCCTAGTCGAGGTCCATAGGGTTGTGAAACATCGAGGCTCCCACATTATCTAGCACAATCGGCTCACAGATGGCGGTGAGGCTGTCAGCCTTACGAGCCGGCCGCCCTTAACCCCCACGAAGATTCCTGGTACTCATTCCTGTTAGAGGCTGAGTCGACCCCAGGGCCATAGTGAGGCTGGAAGGATTAGCTCAATTGAAAAATCCAGTGACCTGGTCGGAAATCTAACCCGCAGCCTTCCGGCTTGTGGCACAGTGCCTCAACCAACTACGCTACCGCGTGCCTTTGTAGTCATAAAGAGAGTTTAAATAAGCCAAGGTGCCAAGCATGTGAGGCACCGAAACTTCCGTGCCTCATATTCGAGCTTCATGTTTCGCGGATTCTTCCCTCTGACTTTCGATTTATTTTTTATTGCTAGTGGGGTGGGACTAAGTCCCTTGTACTGCGGCCACTTCTGGCCTATTGTACCAGCCCCAGATGATAGGTGAGGGTGATTGTGGAGCACCGAAAGCTCGGTAACCTACCAAATACACGGTTTCATATCCTAGTCACCTCTCACATTTAATTTTTTTCCTCGGGCGAGAAACTGGACATATTTATGTATTCTCTCTCCCTTTGGCTACGCTGTCAGTAACTCAGAGTGTGCAGTATGAATGATAGGATGATTAGTGAGTTAAGAATGGGATAGAATGTGTAAGGAATTGGTCGTGACCTGATCTGAAGTACTGTCCCCGCATTTATCTACAAGTACTGGGCGAAACCACGTAATAATATTAATTTTAAAATTTCAGCACTCAACGCAACAAATGTTTATTAATTTAAACCACACTACATGTTTCAACCCTTAAAGGGTCGTCTTTAGGTGTTCTTAGTTACAAGATTAATTATTGAATTGTAACGCATGATCTTGTCTGAATATTACTTATCATTGTACTAGTGTTAATCACTATGTATATTCCTAGTTTACATACATATATACATATGTCGCAAAGTGGCTAGCTTCTATGTATACTTCTTATTGTTCACTTGTATACTACTTATTGGATATTGACTTAAATTGGGGTTAGGTATGAATTTCTAAGTAAAATTAATATTTTCTTAATTGTTAATTTTAGATAGAAACTCTTGCCTAATCCGAATTTAATTCAGTATCCAATAAGTAATATATAAATAAACAATAATTAGACATAGAATATAGTCACTTTACGGCTAATGTATGTATGTAATTCTATGGTAACTATATAGAGTTTCTACATTACGACATGTTTCAACCATTATTCTTGGCCATCATCAGGTAGCACGTACTTATACAGTCACTCTCAATTGTTTACAGTGTAGTTTTTAGTCGAACAATTAAACAAATACCCTGAATTATATAAACCTTCGTCCTAGTGTTCCGAGGGGTATGCGTTATTCGCAATACAAACGTCTTTTTATTTTGCAAATTTTGCCTTAAAATCTCTCTTAAATTTTGTTTCTTATAATTAAGTTAAAGCAGATGGGATAATTTGTACAAGATAAAATTAGACAAACGTTGGCTAATTATTATTATTGCTATTACTACAGTTTTTTGGGGGCCCGCGGTAGCATAGTAGGTTCAGACACTATAATATAAGCCGGAAAGTTGCGGGTTCGATTCCCGATGTCATTGGATTTTTTTTTTTCTAATTTACCTAATCCTTCCAGCCCCACTATGGCCTTGGGGTCGACTCACCCTCTAACAGTATGAATACCAGGAATCTTCCTGGGGGTGAAGGGCGGCCGGCGCGTAAGGCTGATAAATTCACCGCTGTCTGAGATCCGTTTGTCTACAAAATGTGGAAGCCTCGACGCCTCAAAACCCTATGGGCCTTCAAGGGCTGTTACAAGGATAGCTTTACCTATTTTTTTTTACTATTTTATTGTTTTTATTATTTTATATTCATTTTATTTAAAAATGCATTCCTGAGCCCTGTGTAATGATCGTTTTTCTTGATGAGCACATCAGAACCAGGTTCTCACGGGGCACGTGTGTTTTCTCGTCGCATACCGGACTTGTACTATATTGCACGTGCGTAGTTTTTGTTCGCTTTTTTTGTGGTGGTCTTATTGTAACCTGATAGTGTGTTCAGGGGGCATGCTTATGTAGCCTAAGCAATAAAGTATTATAATATTACCAGGTTAATATATTTTATAGGCAGCTTAACCCATTGGCATCTTACTTGATTGAATCTCCTCATATTAGCGACTTAAATGTAAGTAAGAGTAAATGTCATTGTTTTCCGACACAGAGCTTATATCATGGTCCCACATTTTACAGACTGGGCAACGTGCTTCAGCACAAGTATCATCTTCACGTGCTCTTTTATCTAAACACACGTGTACATTTTATATGGGGACAATAGTATCACACCCGTGGGAGTTTTACGGGAAGTCTAATCGTTTGTTTTCTCCCGAATTTTTTACCAGTGCTACGCGTTTTGGAATTATACACCGAGAACTACGTTTAACTCTATTTCCCACTAATAATACGCATAAACAGTCAGTCGTAAGCCGTCTCCTTTGTAGAAGATAGTAAATTACACATATCCACATAAAAATATTATCAGTATTTACAGAATAGACACGATATTGTACATTGAAACAAAAAGGCTGCTCCCTTGTGCGTGCTACATAACTTCATCAGCATGTTAACTCTCAGCACTTAATTACTCTGGGAACATGAAATGATATAACTTCAGAGTTTTCATGTCGCCGCTACGTTTCAGTTACGTAGAAAGAAATGCACTGGAGAAGCCAATAGATAAATTCAGCTGAAATATATATGCAAGATTTGTTAATGTGAATTATACGCGCGTTTGGGGTAATTCCGGGCTCGAAGATGACAAATATTTGCCAAGCCCATATCGCCCATTTTGTAGGAAGTGGAAAGGAAATATACGTTCTGTGACGGAAGATCTATATGCCTATGTTTCTAAACACTTGTGTGTCGCTGTACTGCATCTGTTGTCCGATAAATTTAACTAATTGCATCCGGTTACATTTCACAGTTATGAAAGCTAACGTTGGTATTTCTGACGGGCGGTCAGCCCCAAGCCGTCAATGGGTTAAGCGCTGGCGAGACTTTGGCCTACCGTGTGTAGTACAGAAGCAGACACGTCAGCAGCTTGTGGACACAGCTCGGTGGTACGGCCTGTGGAGACTGACGCAGGCTAGTTGCGGCGTCAGGCGTCGCGTCTCAGGGCGTCCTCCGCGCACTCTCTGTCGACAGTTGCAAGGCTCTGCTAGACTACTAACCCCCCACTACGCTGGCCCGGAAGAGACCTGGAGGAGCTGTTTGCTTGTAGTCTCTCATGTGACGAAAGCAATCGCATGTTTGTGTGTTCAAACTTGTCGGTTCCAGCACAGTCTGCTTGTGGCACAAACCAGGTGCAGTTTCTTAGTCATGCTTTATGAATCTCCACTTCCCTTTGCAGCAATTTCGCGTATAAAACAAAAAAAAAGGACCTACAAAACGATCGAGTAATAGCCGAAGTGTGAAACCAGTACGGAAGTTACGAATGCATGGAGCTTTACCCATACCCTCCCATACGTATTTGACATTTTTCTTAATTAAACTGAAACATAACTTTGGCCAGAGTCTGACGTTAAACCCCCGAGTTTCACCTGGTGTCTAAAGGTTACCAATCTATGTATTTGTACCTCCGGTTCCCCATAAGACTTCTTGGCGCAGCGCATTGTTGAGGACAGGGAGCAATTTAACTGATACTAAGTGAAAAGTGTAACAGAATGCTATACTCGTAATATGAAGTCATGAGAAGCAGTCAGACTGAAAGCATGTACAATTTCTCAAATTTTTAGAGGAAATTTCTGCACTGCAACGCAAATATAAACTTTAACATGATATGCTGAAAACTGAATACTGTTCGAGAAACGCGCTCATCAGAACACGAACACACATCATAGCAGCTAAGAGAGAAAAAAAAAAAAAAGCATTGCAAATAAAGAATGAAATGAAATTTTTATACAAAAAGAAACAACAGCTTAATAAAGAACTTTATTACATGTATATACAAAACGCAAACACATGAAAATGTACAAGTGATAAAATTGATCAATCAATAAATCAAAAACTGCAAGATGAAAATAATACACGAAGAACAATTACAGAAAATACATTTTTTTTTCAAAATTATGAACAAGAACTGAAAACACCAGTAGAAAACAGGAACTACTCTAGGGCAATAAACACAACTAACATACGTTTCACACAAGAAGAAATGCAACTGCTGAGGAAAGAACTGAGGCGCAGTTTACACTATGAACAGAAGAAATTGGCTAGAAACACTAACATTAGAAGCGGAAACCGCAATAAGTAAAATGCAATGTTACAGATATATGGTCTCAAAACAATAAAAAATTTAACAAAAGGATAAAATGAACAACATAAGAAGTAAAGCCGAATGGAAACTAATAAGAAATATAAGAAATAAATTGGTAGAAAATGAATCGAACTCGCGACCCTCATAAAAATATAAAATAAAAATAATGGAAAGCAGTGACAAATTAGGTTCAATATTAAAAAATGTAAAAAGAAAAATTATTTTCCAAACTAGGCAGTCACTTCCACCATGATCCATCTCCATTTAATATGTTTCAGATAAAATGGCTTGGGTTTATTTTAGATTCAAGGCTTACTTACAGCTCAGGTTTCAGTAGTTCGTTGTGCAAATATAAACACAGACTAAGGTAACTCTATCCCATCAGGAAGGGATCCCTCCTATTAACATTAATCTGGTCCTGACAAGGCCAATCATGAAGATTGGAGTCCCTGCCTGGGGTAACGCTGCTATAACACGTCAACAGACTCCAAGTTTTCCGAAACAAGGCGTTAAGAATTATTCCTTAAACTATTAAGGGTGAGGCCAATTGAAACGCTACATGAACCAATTGGTATGGAGACCATACACAGCCATGTTCATAGGCTATGTCGGAAATTATATTCTCACGTGTAAGGGTGACTATCGGCAGGGTTTCAGGTTGGATATTGGATCTATTGAGCACTTACACACACGACTCGGAAGTACAAGTAACTACAGCGCCACAGTTTATTCCAAAATTCACAAATCGCCACAACATCTGCTAAGAATTATCCAGCCTGCTGTATCTTCACCAGCCATTCCCTGGCAATGACCTCTAACAGTGGAGATCCTTCAGCCCGACGCGCTCAAATCCTTTCTTCATAGGCTCCCATACAGTACTCACTCGGTCCCCCCCAACTCTCTTCCTTAAAAATTTTCTTTGAAATGGACCACCTAGAAATTCCCCGTTTCCAACAGTTCCTCTATTTTTGCGCGTCGATTCGTTGATACGGGAACGTGTTTACCGAGCCGCTGCCCAGAAACGACCCTGATATACCCACCCATTTCGAGGTTGTTGCATAACAGCGGATCTACAAGCTACAGTATCTTAAAGCAGCTCAGTAACAACCCCCCAGATAAGGGAATTAGGCCAGCATAATCCTATCCATTACGAACATAAATGACCGCAAGTCTTATTAGCGGACTGATCTACATGTAGTATCAAACATTCTAACCAAGTAGGTAACATATTGTTGCGTATTTAAGAGTGACTATGAATGGGGTTTGGACTGGTTAATAGATTTACTGACCACTTACATATCGTAACTACAAACAACTATAACACTAAAGCTGATTTCCACACTTCACAAATCACTACACACTAATTCTTCTCAGTTTGCTTTTACTACTCGCTTTCCTCGTAACGGATCTTAACAATGAAGATTCTCCAGTTTCGGTGTCCACGTCGTTACTGTCCGGCGAATATCCCGCAACTGAACTCACTCCGTCTGGTGTCCTCGCTATATAGCCTCGGGGCGGACTCGACATAAAACACCGCATGCAGCAGATTTTCTATTGTTATGTTCGATTGCCTAGCATAGTCCGGACATCGTTTCCACGCGGACATGTTTACCGAGCCTTTGCTCAGAAACGGCCGTTTGTTTATCCGCCTTTTGCATATCAACGGTTGTACTCGTTCATTTCGAGATCTCTGCTAGCAACGGGTCTATGCTCCACAATATAACGACCTCCTTTACACGACACTCAAAATAATCTGGTCCAGTCATTTAAGTGTTCTGTGGTTTGAGAAATCCTTATCACAGGAGGCTAATCACCAGACTAAATTCCGGAGGATTGGGTTGTAGGTTGTGTCAAGAGGTGACCCCTACTCTTGACTAAATCTATGCAAAGGCAGATTGGTAGGAAAGGCTGGTTTGTTGCCTGAGAAGGAATCCAGGCTTAACTCTGAGGAAAGCAGAACATCTCGGATAAGGCTAACTGATGGTGTTTGGCAGAGAAACTCTACATCATATCTTCAAACTTTTAAGGAAAAGAAAAGGAGTTATGAAATTGCACTAACGGCCTTGTTTAATACATAATGTGGACGAGACATGACTTAAACTGGCGTACAATTCTGGTAATCATCTGATGATTGTAAAAGATTCACGGAGAAAAAAAGAACCGGTCTGCATGAGTGCAAATGGAAGCAGTTGGATTCTCCCAATGGTTTTGTGTAAAGGAAAGTATGTAAGGGGTTGAGTTTAAATAATTGTGCTGCTGGTACTTATAAATTTTCATTTTTATAATTTTTAGTTTAGGGTGTGACTGGCATTAACTTGCTGTCTGTCTGCTAATAACACCGTTTTGCCTTTTCTTAAATTAAACGTCCCTTTCGCGAAGGAGGGCGAAGTTATTAGAAAACACCGCACGTCTCTGAAATTCTGAAGGTTGTAGCTTCCTAAGAAACTGAGATTTGGCTATTCCTGACATACACAGTGTGTTCAGGTTCTGTTAGGACTGTGTTCATTAAAAATACAAGACGTTAATTGCTTTCAAAATTTCACTCTCTTTATTCAATACATAGCTGGAATCGATTGAAACGTTTTAGAAAACAGCCACTGTACTCCTTTTGTGGAATCGCAATTAAAACTGCGGTACATTCCCTTTGGATGTCCTGGATGGTGTCGTGACGGTCTCCTTTCATCGCCAACTTAACTTCTGGGAACAACCAGAAATCTGCTGGAGCCAAATCTGGCGAATACGGAGGATGATCAAGGACTGTAATCCCTTTTCTGGCCAAAAAATCGCTCTTCGATTTGTGGGGTGGGGAATTATCGTGAAGGAGCGACCAGGAACCTTCCTCTCGGTATTCAGGTCGAATTCTAAGAATTCTCGCCCACAAACGATTGAGGACTCCGAGATAATAATCAGAATTCACTGTTTGACCTTCTGGGAGAAATTCCTTGTGAATGATTCCTTTGGAATCGCAGAAAACGGTTAGCAGTGTCTCTACTCGACTCTTTTGCATGCGCACTTTCTTTGGTTTCGGCTTGTTTGGACTCAACCACGCTGCACTCTGCCGCTTTGTGAGGGGCTCATGTTGGAAACACCATGTCTCGTTACCAGTAACAATCGATTTTATAAATTTTGTATCACTTCGTCCGTCCGTAACATGTCCTTGCAGTGTTCCACTCTGGCATGTTTTTCATCGCCTGCCAGCGCGTTCGGTACAAACCGCGCACAGACTTTCCATTTGCCCAAATCCTCGGTCAAAATTTGATGCAGAGTACTTTCTGGTGTTCCCAAAAGCTCCTCGATGAGTCTTGCAGAAACACACCTGTCTGATGCAAGGATTTCGGTCTTTTTTTCACATTTTCTTCAGTGTGACTTGTTCTCGGCTTTGGTGCACGTGGGACGTCTTCAATGGCCTCCCTGCCGTCACGAAATACAGCATACCATCGAAAAATGTTCGAGCGACTCAAACAATCACTACCGTACACACGTATCATCATTTCTTACGCTTCTCCGGCTGTTTTGCCTAACTTAAAACAAAATTTGATGTTGGCTCTCTGTTCAACCGCCATTTTCCGACGAGCTTCAGAACAATACTGTTACATTCAAGGCCAGAACACATGATGCAGCGATGCTTGCGCTTTGAAATTATAGACAGCCACAGCTGAAACTTCAAGAATCTTAACATCACAACTCGCCAACAAATGGCATTGCAGGGGGGGGGGAAGAAGAAGAGTCCTAACGAATCCTGGACACACCGTGTATACTTCGAAAGGTGTGACTGATTAACAGAATTGGTGGCGTTATATGTCCACTTTACCCTATGTGATGTATACC